TACTTAATAAAATAAACTTGAAGTATACTACTTTTTGGTAAGGGGCTCTGAACCTGACTGATTTTTCAATGCAAATTTCAAACGTTACTTGTGTTTTTATTTTGATGGTGCTCCATTTGGTGCCAAATTGATCTGAGTCCGCTATTTATGCACCGAGACTTGGTGATGCCATCAGATTTCATAAAGCGTTAATATGGCGTACCGCTCCTCATTTTTGTAAACGAGGAGCGCTTGTGAATTGGCTGTGAAATTGGCCATGCAGCTGAGCCCTTTTCTACCCAAACCCATGGATAATGATCGCTTAAGATGAAACGAGTAAGAAAAACATTGTTGGCTGCCGACTCCTACTGCACTTCATTTACATATCTTTTATAAAAGGACACAACTGTAGATGAGTTGGTAATCTTGAACTTAAAAACTCTACAATTCAGAAGCTGCATTTCACTGCTGCTCTCTGATGGCCATTCTCTCATTTTCTGTCTCACTTTTCCTTTGTTTATCTTGTCTGCCTCTGAAAATGGAGGCTGTATTTTCCCAGCCATCGACATCAATATTCATACTCATCAGCCGCTGGACAAGTGCTGTAGGAAAGTTCATGTATATGGTAGAATAACAATCATTTTACTTCACATCACCACTACAACGGGGTAAGTAGGCAATGAGAATCTGCCATCCTTGGACATGACAGAGTCCAAAGCCCAAACCTACTGAAGTGTAAAGCTTGTCTCCTCAAACAACAACACCCCTCGTATTCCTCGCCATGTCTGCTGACGCCCTTTGCCAGGCAGCCAATCCACCAGAGATTATTGACACATCCTGTTTAATCTCCTTTGTACTGCCTGGCATGTCCCAGAATGAATGTGATTTAGATGCAGTGTCACCGTTCCAGTGACAAAATGGTGACCCAGTGGAGCCAGGCTGAGCATGGGAGGTAGATGTGGTGATTCCAGGCTTTCGGACGGGGAATGCAGGCACCCAATTCGAATGGATTTGTTCCTGTGCAGCTTTTGGCAATAACAATGGGAGTCGTGCAGAGGGTTGGAGCAAATAGCTCCCTGATGCGCCTCATGCCAGGTTGTTTGGAGATGGCTGTTACCCAG